TACAAACAAGCTACACTAATGGAAGCACTGAGTACTTTCTGGGGATTATGATAGATGGACCCAAGTTGATTATTCAAGATACAGCTGAGGGTCATTATCCCCAGCTGGTCATTAATCCCCATGAAATAGCTGGCACTGAGCTAGTAATTACTATTATAATGAAAATGAAAAAAAAAGTGCATGACATTTTTCTTCTGAGGCTTAGTCTCTCATTTTCTAAAGAATTAATATTCCATCCATCACCCAATCAGGTTGCCTGGATTATTTCTCAGCATTCCACACAATTTATACTTTTGATTCTCTTTCTTCTGTCATTTCCTGAGGTTGTCCACACTGACAGTTAGGGTTTATCTTAAAGTCAACCTTAAGCCCTACCTGCCAACCATGTATACAATAAACCCTGCAGCTCAACTCCTGATGGTAGTCTATCCTTGTTCTGGAAGTTTGGTTAATCTTACAGGCGTTAGGTACACTCAGTTACTGCTCATCTGCAGGTCACTTTTGTCTGCAGTATGTTTGGAAGTTATGAGCCACAGGCATTAAAGTTTGAAGCAGTGATTCCATAATTCCCAGTTTCTGAATCTTGACCTATATGCATTCCACTTCCTGTCTCTACTATCTGTAAGTAGAGATAATTCAGAAGGAAAGATAAGACTGATTCTTATGTTGTATGTGTATGCAGCATGATATAGATGACTTTGGCGCAGGCTATCAAGTATGATATATAGACACAGAAAACTGCTCACACATGGCTTGGGCTGGTTGAGTTTAACATCAAAACTTAAGCCTAAATACCAGTATAGACATAGACATACCCTCAATATCACTACCATTTCTTACTAGAGTCTTTGTTTTGTATTGGGGTTTTTGGGGAGGGGCTGGCAGGAGGGCAGAGATCATGGAGAGAAGACAGACAGTCAGACAGACAGACATAAAAGCAACTACTTAAATTATTTCAGTGGTAGAAGCCCCACAAACACTGCAGAATTCTAGTGTGATGCCATAGCCAACAGGGCAAATAACACCCTGGCATGCATCAATCTATGCATCTCCAGTGGAAGATTCTTCCACTCTACTTGGCATTGGTGAGACCGCAGCTCAAGTACCACATCCAGTACTGGGCACTGCACTTCAACAAGGACATGGTAAACCTTGAGAGAGTCCAGAGAAGGGCCATCCGTATGATTAAAGGCTTGCACGACAAGCCATACGAGGAAAGGCTAAGGGACCTGGGACTCTTCAGCCTGAAAAAGAGAAGGGTGATAGGGGACTTGATAGAGGCTTACCGCTACATCAGGGGCATACTTCAAGGGCTCGGTGAACAACTGTTCACCAGGGCTCCCTTGGGGAAAACCAGGAGTAATGGCCATAAACTCCTGGAAGACTGTTTCAGGCTCAACATTAGGAAGACACTTCTTCACAGCCAGGCTGTCCAGACTGTGGAATAAACTACCTCTAGAGGTGTTGCAATCACCTATCTTGGAAATCTTCAAGAGAAAACTGGACGGTCACCTTGCTGGGGTCACCTGACTCCAGCTGTCTTTCCTGCTTGGTGCAGGGAGCTGGACCTGATGATCTTCCAAGGTCCCTTCCAGCCTCACAACCTATGAATCTATTAATTCTATCTGTACACTTTCCACAGCTAGATTGAGAAGAAAGCATTTTAAACAGGTAGATAGGTCTAACTAGAAAAATAGCAGAGCTGACTGCTAAAAAGAAAACACATCTAATTACTAGTAGGATTTTATTATTATTTTTCCCAGTTCCCAAAGAAAAGAAGATAATATTTGACCCTAAGTAGATCATTTTATGAGTAGTGGGAAAAGGCCAAATAACGGTGGACATTGATAAATAACCTGGACTGCAGTTTAAGGAGGTTGATTTGTCCTTCAAGCCACATGCACCTGTTTGGAGATTTTGAGGTAAAACCTACTGCTGCATGGTTGTCAGCTACATGAATGGTCTTATTTCGGGCAGATGCTGAAAGTTGGACTGTTTGACTACCAAGACCGCATGTATGAAGCAAAATGTGCAGGACTTCTGAGGACTCTAAACAGCACTGAGCAGAGCATATTTTAGAAACCCTCATTACAGAAAGGCAGGTAGGTGTTTTTGAGAGCAAGGACCCAGGGGCTGCATCTATACAAGTGTGGACATATGGTTCCCAGGAGACAATTAGCAGTGGCACACCTTGTGCCACCACTATTTGTCTCTGGGGAATGGCTGTGCCACATGCCCTCTGGCATGCAGCAAGTTACCCCAGGTGGGGTTTGGGAGGCTGGGGCCAGCACTGGTCTGGCCTCAGCAGCTTTACCTGGGATCCTGGGAGTCTCCTGGGGCTGCAGCCATGGCAATCCGGCTGCTTAAAGCCTGGGCAACAGCCGGAGTGTGGCTCCAGCTGGCCTGGCTCCAGTTTTGAGTGGTGCGTAATGCCCCACGTGTGCCACTCTGCTTTTTTTTTGCACATGGATTTTTTTTTTACTCCTGGATATCCTGCACTGCTCCCCTGCAGTGTGGAGAACAATGTATGGTATGTGGTGCACTAAAGATGCACTCGTGTCTGTGGCGCCACACACAGCATGGCCGTGCTCACCTGGGTGCGGCCAGGGTGTCAAAGCGATTTCTGAAAGAGAGAAGAATACACAGGCTACTTGGAAATGGGATTTGAACTAGGGCAAGAAGGAAGTGCAAGTATGCATCCACTGTAGACAACAGCACGTATGCTGAACAGTAGCTCCTGGTGTAACAGCAAAAGACTGTAATGCAGTCAGTAACAGGTCAAAGAAAACTGCAGTATCGCTGTTATTTATCCATCATTGTAATGTGTGAAATACTATGAGAGAATGGATGTTCAATGGAAACAATGCACCAGTGAAATTTAAAATCCACACAGATGAGCTGTGTAAACTGAGCTCTGCTCAGTGCTGTTTAGAGTTCTCAGAGGTCTTCCACACATTAACCACTGAGAGCAAGAAAAAGTGAAACTTGAAGATCAAATAATACTCTTTGAACAGGTGAGGGAGATCTAACTCTCTCCAAAAATTTAACCAAGAGGGTCAATTTTGGTTTTGCCCCAAATTCCAAATGTGGGGAAGCATATAGCTGCATTGTCTCAGGACCACACCAGGAAGCCAACTCTAACTCTGAGAATCAGTTTCCCAGTGCTCCACATGGATTTACCCTGAACAGATTCCCCAAAACAACTATATCCTAGAGAATCCACAACACACATGATGCCACATCTAGGAAATAGATACTGCAATTAGAAGACTTGGAAAACCATCTCCAGAGCTAATGGCATAAGGTGTGTCAACTGCCCATTCCTATACTATATGGTAAAATGCAAGCATATTTCATGATCCTATCCATGTATATTTTCCTAATAAACTGTTTTTTATATTAGTATGTGTATAAGATGCCTGCCTATACTTAACCAACACCTGCCTATTTAATTTTAGCAGGATGTTTTCTAGCCAGCATGCAAAAGGTAAATGCATATCAAAATACAGGCCATTTATATAATGGCTTTATTAGACCTTGAGAAGATTACTGATACAAAGAGAGGTGTCCTGGAAGACAACTATGAAAACAATGCTGAACATCCAGAGAAAATATCACTAAAGTATCACAAGGGTATATGCCCTGGACCTCACAGAGCTTTCAGAGCTGACAGCTTGAAATTTACAGTATCTTACAAATATTTGATGCTTCATTTAAAACGCCAGATCCTGGATGCACATGAGCAGGAAT